TTTTTTACAGGAGAAAAAAGTCTGAAACAAATGAACAAAAGCTTACCATAGTCACTAAATTTTTAATATATATTTATATATATATATTTATATATATATTTGTCATAGGTCTATAAGATCCATCTGTTCCTCCTACCCTAAGGAATGGCTAATGTCATCACTTCGTTGTCATCAGGATGTTTGCTGGTTTTGTTACTAGGGCAGCCGAGCTTCCCCTATTCAGTATCCAGTAATTATAAACACTAGCTGACTTGAACACCAACGAAAGCGTTCATGTAGTTTTCTTCAGAAGTACACTTTTTCATTATTGCAAGTTTACAATTTTTTTTAAATTAAATATTTTTTTTCAGACTTACAAATTAATTATATTTTTTTTTTTTCCAAAAGAAGTTTAGGCACAAATGCATTGTTCCACAGTGTGGAAAGATTGCCGTTCAGTCTCTGGGCTGCGTCTCAGCCTGTACATAACTGCTTTGCACATTCTGAATGATATGTTAAAGGAAGTTGTCCCTCAAGTTGCACTTTTTTCCTTCTTTTTTTTTTTTTGTTTGTTTTTCTGTTTTCTGATAATTGGGAATGCTGAAACCTCTTGCGTCTGTAATTCATAACTACTCAGACTTGTCTTATATTACAAAAAAAGGGGGGTTAAGGAGAAGTGTTTATGTGGGTTTAAGATAATACAGCTGTTAAGGAAGTGGTCTCTTGTTTTAATGAAGCAATGTGGCAACTTGGACCTGGGAAAAGAAAAAGAGAAAAAAAATGGAATTAATGTATTTATAATAGAGAAAGTGGATTTTTAAAAAAAAATTCCTCTTCTAAGAAAGGGCAATATCTGTTCGTCTGGGTAGAACCGGACTGGTATGGCCGATGCGCCAGTGCCAAGTTAGGAATGAACGATGTCACAAATGGCTGAAAACCGACTTGCCCTTTCACATCTGTCCCATGTGGTTCGATGCGTCTCCCATTCCAGGGTGTGGGCCGGCCAAGGAGAGCGGGGGAGGCTCCGAGGACACCTTTTCTTCCTCCCTTCTTTTTAGACAAGCGGCTTTCGGGTTCAGGTTCCTTTCTGTGAGGGATTAAAGCACAGGGGATCGTTAATGCCAAGACCTCTGACGGAGGCAGTAATCCATCTTTCTGCCTGTCCAACCCCTTTTATCAGTTTTTACACCGCAGAAGGGAAAGAAGTTTGGGTCAAGGTACGGTACAGGAATCTGTTTGGTCACTGCTTAGTGCAAGTTGAACTGCTTGGTGAATTTGTCAGCCACTCTGCAGTGTAAAAAAGATTGGTAAAGCCAATAAACCAAGCTCTGATTCTTCAAGGTACACATATATGGAAAGTCACGTGTGGTCTGAGTGGTGCGAGAACCCTACACCTCCTTAGAGGGAAAGGGACACCACCTTGTTGATTGAGACACAGTCTGCAGTTGAAGCAGTCACCGGGAATGAGGCTGGGCTGATGTGTCCACCGCGCCCACAGCTGCCCAAGCTCCCCAGAGCTCAGTGAGGTGGCCGCATCCACTGACCTCGGACTTGCTGCTCCAGGCTGAGGATGACGGCCACGGCCTGGTGCAGGATCAGAAGCTTAGTCTGGGGCTTGTCACTCTTGAGGTGCAGCTGCACCATGCGGCCGAGCTCCTTGAAAGCCTCGTTGATGTCGCGGACCCGCAGGCGCTCCCGCGCGTTGTTGGCCATCCTCCGCTCCTTCTCACGCTCGGCCTTCTGCTCCGGCGTCAGGTCCTCATCGTCATTATTGCTGTGGGACAGAAAGACACGCGACATTTTCTAATGGTGTGGGGAAGAGGCGGCCTTTAATTACTCTGTTCACTTCCAGAGTTTTCAGGAGACTTTTCCATCTGGTGCCACGTCCACTTGACCTGATGTAGATGCTGTGATAGTCCTTAATACAGACAATATTTGATTTCTCCCAGACATCAACCCCAAACCAAACAGGTGAGGATGCTCTCCCTGAGTTAGTGCCCAGGGGGTGCATATCCTAACGTAGGGGACAAAGAGGGAGACCACGCTTCACAGACACCATTATGCCCGTAAAGCAGACCTTTGCCAACTTAAGTCTAGCCCATGCTGAGACCACACTTCAGAAAGACTGGTTATACTTAATGTCTCTTTTAAAAACTGTCATTCTGTGACACCTGAAACCTAGGGAAAATGAGGGACTGAAAAAAAAGATTTTGACAGGTCAGAATAAGCACACGGCATTTAAGAAGAAAGTTCTAGGGTTAAGACCCCAGCACGGTGGAGGGAAGACGGGGGGCTTCTGTCCAGGCATTACCGTTACCTTGGGAGGCCTGGCCAATCCCCTTACCCTACTGGAGTCTCATTTTCTCTACACATTAAATATAAGTTTGGAAAACAAGATTTCTATGGTTGTTAATGTTACAGATATTTATGATTCCCAACCTGAATTCATATCAGCTATGCAAAATAATACCAACCCAAACACCTACTGATTATTATTGCGCATGCCTTTGCTGTGAGTCAAAAATGAAGCCAAAAGCTTATCTCTGGGCATGATAACCAATATACTACGTATTCTATGATCTATAACAAAGGGATAGTTGGACCCAATAGAGTCTGAAAAGATCACATCAGTTCTGTGCATTTCCGGGTATGATAATGACAAATTAGAAACTTTTTAATGGAAGGAAAATAGAATGACAAGCCATCTGGAAAGCATACTGTATGAGGAAGTTTTCATGGCAGCAGGTTTTAAATATTTCAAGGGCTATCATTTAAAAAAAAAGGGAGGTCTGGATGACGTCTTAAGAAAGCAGAACAGAACAAAGAACAAATAAGACCTGTTGTTAATTAACACGAGCAAGAACCTTTTTGGGCAGGAAAAACGTTAAAAAAATGAAGTAAATGTCCCTGAAAGGCAATAAATTCCCCATTACAAGAAATAATCTGGAGATGCCATTGGTAATGATGTTAGCTTAGAGATGAAGGCATCTACCTGGGACCATGAAGTTTAACTTTTACTTTATTAAAGTTCACACATCTAAAACGTTCCCCAGAACCCAGATGATGAGTGATGGGCTTTCAGGGCACTGTGCAGTTAATGCGATGTACACTTGATGAGGTCTTATGACTTTCCACTTTGGGGAAATCTCTGGGTAACTTCTGAATTGTAGTAAGGACCCACTACACTCGAAAGGGTCCTATCGATTAAATATGGAAGTAGTGTTCTTGGGTTCCAAGTCTGCGTTGCACTTAAAGATGACGAATTAGCCAAGAACACCTGGGTGAAAGGGAAAGTTAAGGGGGGAGGGAGACGCTACGGAAGGTCCTGCACGACATCTTCTCCCCACGGCTCAAACCCCTGTCCAGATGTCGCCGTCTGCCACAGGTGTGAGCTGGTGAACACACAACTCGACTGAGCCCGTCGGAAGAGGCCCCCTCTCTCCACCTTCTCATCCTTTTCACTTGCTCTGAACCCTCTTCCCTCCTCTCCCACGATCACTGCTGATGTGAGGAAATCAAAGTCACTATTAATTCACTTCTGGATTCCACTACACAGATAGGATGTAATAAGTCATAGCGAACAAACTCTCTTCTGGGCCTGTCCTGCTGCTAAAACTTTGAGTGATACTTTTACACATCAAAGATGTCCCATGCTTTACACAAAGGGGCCTTGGAAATGGGAACTTGTCTCCCAAAGGTTTTTAGGCTAACAACTAGTTAGCTTTGACTATTCACTTAAAAATAAACTGGCATGCAAATAAAACTGCCCAGATTTGAAGCGCACTGCCTAACAACACGGTTTTGGAGACCTATGTAAGTAAATGGCACTGGAGTGACCTTTTAAAATAAGAAACTTCTCAACACCAAGTATAAATGTTGTCCTGAAACTTCAAAGCATCCATTAGTATGCATAAGTTATGGCCACTAGTTAAACTGATGCTAACAGAGACGCTATTAAGGATGTGAGATCCGTCCTCAGGATTTCTTGCCAACGTGGCTGAGGATCAGGAAACTCTGTAATGTTAGTGGAAGGAGAAAGCCAGAAGCGTTCACATTTTTGGAACTTGGGGCAGGACACATAATGTAATTTATCTCAATAACTATAAAGGCAGCATGTTCTAATTCATAAAGGATACTGAAGTTATGCTGTAGTCTTAGCATAGTTTACTTGGCAAATAAAAACCACCCCAGGTCACCAAGGCCAAGTACATGGTGTTATGGTCTTCAAAAACCATCTGATTACCACATTAAAGCTCCAGGAGATAGATTTTCCTTTAAAGATAGTAGATATCTAAAAAACCAACCAGAAGCATTTTCCTGCAGTTGTGTTTTCTGTAGAAAAGGGTACCCAGGAGAAGAAAAATTAAGTAATTTAGGTATTACTCTTACATACGTCAACCTATTAAGGAGAGAGCTGGGAAATCAGTATTTTCTTGCTTTAAAGGTAAGAAAAAAGTAACAGCTGTACCTCTATCAATTGAGTTTTTAACAGAGCTGTGATCTCATTTTAGAAATATTTTAGAAAAAAAATAACATTTCTGACCAAATTTGCAGAACAAGCATAGTTTTAAAAATAAACCATTTGCACTGGAATCAGTCACAAATTGTTTTTGTGTAGTAAGCACTGGGTCCAAATTCATAAATGCAAAGACATTCTGGGCTTCACTAGAGTACAGGTATCTCAAACGATACTTTTAGTACTTCTAGATCAGGCCTTTAAATTTTCTTCTCAGCTATAGATTTACCTGCCAGGAAAAAACTGAATAGTTTCTTCCTGTTCTGTTCACTTCATCAAAGTCCAATAAAGGAATTAAATGAAGCGACAGTATTATATACTGTTACCTAGATCTTGACCTAGTAATTGATTTGATATCCTTCTTGTCGTCATCTAATTTCTTGTCCTCGGAAGATTTTGTGTCTTGCAGATTCTCGTCTCCCTCATCGTCGGATTTGATCTCAGAGCTGCCGGAGGAGACGCTCTGCCCCTGCAGTCCTGGTGGCATGCCTGCAGGAGAGAGGAGACAGGTGACAGGGACGCCCAGGACTCGAGGCCTGCACCCCAGGTCACAGAGCCGCCAGCCAGACCGTTCCTACTGCTGATCTGTGATCCTCTGTCACTTTCCCCTGCTATCTGGTGAAGTTTCAAAAACGCACCTGCAGAGACAAGTTTTCTCTGCATTGGCTCTAAGGTTAAATTCTATTTTGCAATCTTTTGGAGTAGATGGTAATTTCACTGTCTACAAAACATCAACTTAATTGCAATGAAAATCATAATCATGAAAATCACACACCTCAATGTTCTGATTAAGAACCCAAGTAAATATCAGCTATTATATTGAGTTTCTTCCATATGCAATGATTTAATAGAAAAATCTCCTTAAAATATAATTCCTAGGGAGTACGCTAACTACATGCAGTCAAGACTTCAATGGATACCCTAATGATATTCTGAAATTAGGCTCCTCTTATTCTCAAGCAGGAATCAGTATTTAAAAATGGTACGTATGGAAAGCAGCTTACTGCTCACTGAAGACATTTCGAACATTACCATTCCTCAACTTTTCAAGATCACACTACATTGTGAACATGTTGACCCTAAAGGAATAATTCATTTCTCTGCTAGAAGTGTGCCTGTTGAGGGTTTCCCTCTGTTTATGATCTGTGTATTCTAGGACGTCCTCACTCAAAATTTGGTCCACGGGATGGAGCATCCTTGTCACTTGGGAACCCATTAGAGATGCAGAATCCCAGGCTTACTGAGTTAGAGCCTATCGGCACGATCCTCACATTAGAGTCTGAGAAGCACAGATGCAGGGCAAGCAGAGCAAAGGCCAAGGCCCCTTGGAAGGCAGGACGCTCACCACTGTTACCTCCACCGCTGGCACAACCAGGGGCTCTTTAAAAGAAAGGGCCACAAAATGACTACTCTTCAGATAGAAATGGGCACATGCCCCTATGTATAATTGATACTCAGATTTGTCTAATGTTGACGAGTTGAGACAATGCCTCTATGTATTCATGTGGCAGTGTTATCACTCTTACTTTAATTGTGGAGGGAGTGACTTTTAGTCAGCTGGCCAGCAGGCAGCAAGGGAGCCCGGGACCCAGGTCTTGCCTCTGCAGCACAACTTCTGGGGTGAGAGGGGTGTCACGAAAAGCCACTCGCGGTCACCGGCATGAAGTCATCATTACAGGACTTGATGACTCACGAGTGAAATCACCCATCCCAGGTCCATTTTTTAAATGTACCTACATTTCCTTCCATCTTAAGCACCAAAATCAATTTCCTTCCTTCCTATTCATTTGGAAATATCATTTTCAGGCCACAACTAACCACATTAGAGGATCTGAATGAGAAAAATGTGGAAATAGCTGAAATAAAATTTCCTCTCATCAGTCTGTTGCCTCACTCCCTGCTGAAAGAGGACCAGGATTCAGAGGATGTTTGAGGAAAACAGTTCCTGAGAAACACGATTAGCGGGCTGCGGTCCGCACACTTCCCCATTTACGGACCATTTCTGCACCAAATTTGATTCTTGGTTTTCTGCCAGCGCTTCCTGAGGGCCGAATGCCAAGTGAGCTGGGGCTCAACCCTGGGTCTACTGGTGCTTAAGGGAGGTCAGCAGCGCCCACCTGGGCAGACCTACCTCTGTAGGGGTCCTGGGGCGGGTTCAGGTCCGGGGAAGTCGCAGACTGGACAGGAAGCTGTGGGACGGGAACCTGGTTTGGCAGAAGAGAGTGGCTGCCTCTCAGGGCCACGCCATCTTCACGATGGGCCCCAACCTGCAAGGGTGAGAGGGACCACAGTGTTTACTGGAAGCCAGAGGAGCAATAGCCATTTCCAGGGACAATAAGGACCCGATGAAGGAAAACTGCCTTCGAAAAACAATCCTCCCGAACGCATTTCACTAGAGGGCGCTGGAGGACCACACATGCACCTATAGCTCCTGCGAAAACACTTAACGCTCAGTAAGATGCCGAGCTGTACATTCAGTGACAAATATGGCAGAGTATCTCAGGCAGGTAAAACGTCAAATTGTCTCCCAGGGTGCTGCAGTGGAGCGCACTGATTCGTACCCATCTGTCTTCTATCATGTCCGCCAACAGATCTGACAATTATCTTAATGCCCATATGCTTAATTGTGGGCTTCTCAATTCCCCCATTGCTATCGGAAATCCTACAGGAATTTCAATTTGGCATTCGACTTTCATTTCAGGGGATAAGATTCTCAGGCCTGCCATTTTTTTTTTTTCCATAATACCAGCTAAGCCTCTGACAGCGGAAGCTACAGCAGTATGGGACATAGCCCCTGCTCGGTACAAATATAATAAAATGTCACCTGGCTTTCCAAAACTGGCAGCCCATTCCAAATTAATGTTTACTGTATTTCATCAGCTGCTGAGTTCCAAATCCAAAGGGGGACTGTTTCTGCCAATACCACCATACCGGAAAATGTACCAATAAAGGTTTTATTAAACACACCAGTAATGCCATCATTGCCATGCAAAGATGTTTGGACATTTTTCCATTTTTTACTCCCATTATTCTGATCCTAGAAAGACACCATATTGTAAACACTCTTTATGCTTCCAAGATAAAATTATAGAATATAGGATGATTACTTGATTTGAGGAAAAAAATACTGCTCAGCTTATTTGCTACTACTACCTACTCTGAGGTCCAAAGGCACTGAACTCGTGACAGCAATTTACAGCACATGCCTCACAGCAAAACCATTAAGCTTTTGTAAACTAAGAACATGAGTAATTCATATTATGTTTTCCTATTTCTAAGGACTTATTTTCTTGGCCTATTGTGAAGTGAGCATAGTTTATGCAGGACAGTGGGCCTAAAAATTAAAAATATTTATTCATGAATTTACAATTCTATGAATCAAAGTTTAATTCTTCTACTCCAAAAATAATAAAACCACAAAGGCACGATGTTTGCTTTTTTCCTACCAAAATGATTTAAGAGAGCATTTCTAAAGAATGTGACAATAAGAATCTGAACCAATGACAATTTCCCAGGACCTGAGCATGTGCCATGTAAAGGCAGCCCAGGATTAAGTATCTCACACACACACACACACACACACACACGCACGCACGCACACACACACGCTCCAAAACCACACACATAAAAAATAATTCGGGTGAAGACGATCACATAAATCATACTCATTGTTCGGATTCAAAAATTACCAAGAATAATAAAAGATTTAAGACTTACAAATATCAGGAAGCATAAATGAATGTTTTAGCTGAGAATCTGGGGGGTCCAGTGCTATCTGCCACTGGTGGCTGTGATATAAGATAGAACTTTCTGAATGGGGGGCTCCTCAAATGTCCTGAGACCCTGACTCCCTCCCTAAGCAGCCATTCCATTTTCACCACCAATTGGCTTCTTTGTAGATTCTACTCACTGGTCCTAGTTTCAGCTTCTCAAGTTCCATACAGTCAACTGTGTTGGCCCAGCCCACTTTTCTTTCCTCTGCAGCTGAACTCTACTCCCTTCTGGGCAGACCAGGCCCACTGGTTCCTTCAACCATTTCTCACTCGCTCTTCCTCTTTTCATTTTTATTTCCCCCCAAAGAATGATAGCTGTTTTCTTTTGAGGTTTTTGATTTGCCAGTTTTATATTTGTGCATGTAGAAGGCTGATGCATCAGTAGACGATTATCCTTTCAATCTAAGACGTCAACTTGTAAGCATGAATTTTACAGGCCTGGATCAAAGGGTAGCTCTTTATGTCTGTCAATCAATATAAATGTAAATATCAATCACTACCTTATTGCTGATTCATATTTATTGGTGGTCCCAATAGATGGGACTTCTTGGATTTTTCACAAAGATTCAAAGCTGGAATCACTGAAGGTGACCAAGATCAGCATTAGGAGGATATATACTCCTGTTTCAGAATCCATCTATTAAGACTCTCACGCCTTCCTTGCAGGCATCTTGATATAACTTAGGGTTAATATTTTGCTTTTCACTTAAAACATGCTGTTTTTGGTCCGTTGTTGATCCTGAATTTCTCCTCCCCCTCTGAGCATGCTGAGATAAGTTTTCACAAAAGGAAAACAGAACCTTTAACCAGTTACCTTTTACTTTTCTTTCCCTCAATTATTATTTTTTATTTTGGATTAATATGAGGGAACAAATGATTAAGTCACACTGTTTGCATTTCTTTCTTTTTTTTTTTTTAGCTTTTGGCCGGGGCTGGGTTTGAACCCACCACCTCCAGCATATGGGGCCAGTGCCTACTCCTTTGAGCCACAGGTGCCACCCCTTGTTTCCATTTCTTAGTAAAGTTCAAGCTGTAGCTGTGCCCTTCACCTAAGGGGTGTGCTGTACAGCCTCACATTGTGAACTCAGGTGAGAGCTTACTAAGCACTGTCCCTCCTCCCACCTCAACTATTCTTAAGGACTGTGTAATTTAATGACTAGAATACGATGATCATAGGCAACAATATCCTAGAATAATCTTTTTCTTCTTTCTTTTTTACAGACAGGGTCTTGTTATGTCACCAGGCTAATCTTGAACTTCTGGCCTCAAGCAATCCTCCTGCCTCAGCCTCCTGATGTGCTGTGATTACAGGCATGAGCCGCTGTGCATGACTTCGGCTTCTAAACATAACTGGGCTACTTGTTGGCTATAAAATCATTATTAACGTTACTCAAATGCGAAAAGAATAACTAAAGGTTACAGAGGGTAAGTCCCAGGTTTATTGTAAGGAATAGCAATAGTATATGAACAGCAACTGGTACATACTAAGTATATGGTGATTACAGACACTCTATGTGTTTGAACTGAATGTACCTGCACAGTACATGAAACTAATAGCCTATGTAGTTCAAGACCCCCAAACTCTAGGTCCCTTCACTCACGGTTATCTTTGTTCTATTTAGTTCATATCCATGTGACTTCAAATCTTTCTCCTGTATGATGACAGAAAAATCTTAAACATTATAAATATACTTGAAAACACAGTCATTCCAATGATATTTCTGTCTGGATTTTAGCGTGTGTGTGTTACCTAACTTGGTCTATTTTCTCTAGATGGTCTTAGCTCATCACAAATAGTGTCAATCCTTTGCCATAAAGGAAGTTAGAGACAAAGTCCTCCTTCATGTCTTAAGGCCTCTCTTGTTACAAGGTGTATTCCAGGTCACATGAATGAATGACCTCTGATGAGTCCAGATCCATGTGGTAATGCGCTTGATTTGCCAGGATCAATGCCATTGCCGGTGGCTATGCAACAGGATTCCAATTTGAAGAATTAGCTTTGCTTTGCTTGTTTCCTTGGTCACAGACAACACGTCTCAACCCCATTTACTTCTCTTTTAGAAACATTATTTCTGGTCATATAAGAGACAGGAATGAAATACCATAAACGGTCAGCACAAATCCATCGTTAAAACAATGCAGAAACAGAGTAACCAATATTGTCATCATTAAATGTAAAGGCCAGGGATCTGTGCGCTTTCAGACAACCAATATTGAATAATTTAACTAGGAAAAAGAAGATTCCTTTAATTCACAAACTGATCTTCAGTATGGTACATGCCTCCTAGCTTTAGAAACTCCATACATCAGGTACTTCAGTAAAGCCCTACTTTGACAACCTTTTCATATAGGTAATAAAGTCAAAAGCCAGCTTATGAAATAGTTAATTAATATTGATTGAAAATTTTAGGCAGTCTTTACAAAGAGTCTCCCCCACAGTCACATCCAGTTTTAGACATATTTATGTTTAAAGTAAAAAAGTAAAATTTAAAAATTACTCCAGAATTATTAACTGACTGATCAGAGAGGATATTTGTTCATTCAACAAACATTTTCTAATCTAGTTCACACTCCTCACGTTGTGAGCTGTCAGGAATGGAGTGATGAGTAACTCAGATGCGGCCTCTGCCCTTATGGGGCTTGAATAATCCTCTGTGCATTCATCAGTTTAGTGTGGTAGTTTCAACAGTAAGGAACAGGGACTTATTTGAGTTTACTAAAACAAAAGGAGATTTATCATGAAGATTTCCATAACTTGGGTGTTGGACCCAGAGGGCTCTTGGGACCTCTGGCCATTCAGCGTCCCTCTGACGGCATCTTGGCTTCTGCCCCTCAAAAAACTACAGGCAAATCTCTTTCCTCTTGTATCTTCCTTCAGTTTCTGTACCTGCTGCCAATTACCTGACTGTGTTAGTATCTGAAGTTCAGAATGCCAAGATCATCTGATGGCCCAGCTCACTGGACAGCAGACATGGGTCATCCTATGAACGAGCCTCCCTTGAATCAGGTGTTTTCCTGATCCAGCGAGCTCCAAAAGAGAAAGGGGAGGTCAGACCCTGGGGTCCAACATGGCAGCCTGGCCTAGCCCTCCCACAGGCCTGGTAAATCCTCACTGTTACGGGCACTTGCAAATATTTAAGTCACTTTATATCTTGGGTCAAGTTAAATTCAAAGTCTGATACAGTATTTAAATTCTTCTGTGAGAATTTATCATTGAGGATAATTAAATATTCTAAATACTTAAAATATTTACATATGCATTCTTTTGAATCACAGAAGCATCACATAATTTTAAAGGACCTTGCTTTCCAAAGAAAGGATTACGATGTTAGATGCACTTTTTAATCATAGAACTTAGATTTTAAGGGCTGAGGGAAATAGGTTTAGCCAAATTCTTCATTTTGCAAAGAAGAAAGCTAAGTCTGAGTGCTGAAGTGACTTAGTGTCAACTACTTCGAGTTTCTGGGTTCAGAAATAACACTGAACAGTGATTG